GATGTAGGGGTTCTGAAGAAACCCCCACAAGGCTGAAAGGTCCACTTTTTATTAAGATTTTTCTTGAAAAGATGGACTGATTTGTATCACCAGCGAAAGTTATGCCTCATTTTTCCTTTGAAATTCTCTCAAAAACGCAGGAAATGTGCCATTCAAAAAAGGGTCAATTTTTTGCGCTCACTGGTCCCTCAGACAGTGGGAAGAACCCCCCCCATTAAAAATTCTGGCTACGGGCAGGTACTGATGTACTGTGTAGGCCGTAGGCGCTTCCCCTTCCGCAGTTCCAAAAGTCTTAACGCCAGGCTAGCGACGAAGATCTAAGAAACAGAAAGGCAAGCTGTGTGAGGTAGCCACTGTCATACAACTTACGCTACGTACCAGAGTTATCCAAAGAGAGTTATCCTTGGTTGATAACTCTGGTACTTGAAGGCATGGCTATTTCGTGTTCTCTTCTGGGCTGGTATTAGGTACTTAGTCTATAAGTCATTTTGTACATCATGCATAGTCTGTACCGTTCTTTTGCCTTTTTCATACCCCATTCCTTTCCATACTCTTCACAGCTAGTAGAGGCCTTTTGTTATGGTTCGTGAGAGGTCAAGGGCAAGTGATTTGCGAACCTGCGGGTCTCGGTCGGCGAGTTTGCAAGCAAGATGGGATCACATTTCCTTAAGGCCATGTGGAAGTGTGCTCTCCATTTAAGACGTGTCAATTTACCTAAGGCCACAGCGCGTAAATTTTATGGATGACATCCTCCACAGACACCAAATCTAATGCGAGCGCGCGAAAAAAAACAAGGCGGCCCGAAAAAAACAAGGTTCCTACATTTTAAAATTTTGACTCAATCATTGTACAAATGGTTTTTACTCAGTAGGATCCATTACATATACACAGCCACCATCACATATCACTGCATCAAAGTAAGAAACAATACATTAATTCAGAGCATTTTCTTGTCTCTTCTCTTCATAGTTATCTGCCATCCACCTTCTAGCATGACAACAGACATTTTTGCCCATTTTCGGCATGTTGACCACTGTCAAAAGGCAACAAAATTTCTTTTTTTTTCCAAATCAGGCGAAAATTAATGCGCGCGCTGATGTCATCCATAAAAATTACTTGCTGTGGCCTAATTGCAACTTCTTGCCCAAGTGTCAAGTTCTTTTTTTTTCGAGTAGCCTTGGCTGTCTCTGTGGTGTTACTCCAGACATATNACACCGACGGTTCTCTTAAACTTAAAAGCATCCAGTGCAGTATTGGCGGCAAAACTGGAAATATTCTGAAAATGGCAATCTGTATGATATTGACAAATATTGCTTCACATTAGCTCATTTGAATCAGTATTTCATACTTTAGGCATTCAAAACTGCAGAAACAAGCCCCAAGATGAGTCCTTTATTTTCTTGGTGGTACCCTAAAATTCAATCCGGGTCTTTCCAGTAACGGTTTTTTTGTCAGAATTTTGGGCATTTTTGCTCCATGAGTGTCGATATACATTGAGACAGTGTTGTTTCAACTTATTATGTCAATAATTAAGTGACAAGAATATTGACTTTGAAAAATCTGGTTTCCAAAACTGCACCGGATGCCTTTAAAGGCATTCAATTGAACGGCTCACGTACATGTGGGTGTTCTTGTGTCCCTTTTGTAGGACTAATTTGTATACTTTCATACTGATATTTCCTGTCAATAGAGAGTTCTTCCACTTTTCGAAACCAATATTGTCCAGGAAGAAATTCGTCTGAATGAGTGAATGGGTACTTTGGGGACCATCTGCTTATATTTATAATGAATGAATGAATGAATACCTTTATTGTACATAAAAAAAGAGGATTTTTACGCATTACTGCACGGAACTGTCTATCTACTGGCTTTTAACGTGATATTATCAGATTCTTTATTGACACAACAAAAAAAGTACAGGTATGGTCTTCTGAAAGCGACTGCTAAAATCAGTAGATCAGACAAAACGTTACAACTGATCATGAGCCATGTTTCGGATTGTGTTAAATGGCTACATATAGCGGTGAGAAGCAGTACTCCAGTCAGGAGCCCTGAGAGTCGACTGAGGAAGGTGTCTGATAGGCATCGAGACGTAAGCAGAAACACGACCGCTTGTGTAAGAAAAAAATCCCCAACGTATCAAAACGTCTTGAAATTTCACCAGTGCATGGCAGAATCCTTGACACATCAATAAATGTCTTCATACATTAAGATTTTTTTCTCTGTTTATTCAAATCATGGAGACAAGTACAGGTACAAGTACGTATACATACACAGCTACTTTTAACAACTTTTACAGCCATATCCCCAAAATACACGGACCAATCACAAAGACAGACACTAAAAAATGATGTCTAAATCACTTAGACACAACAGGTCTTTAGACTGCCCTAGATATCACAGATGAAGTTTCTTGACATTATTGTAGAATGAAGCTTAAATCTCCATGTACAATAAAGGTTTGTGTAATTCATACCCTATTAAAGCCCGTATAAATACTCATGTTAAACATGTTCACTTAAAAGAGTCCTAGGGAGACATTAATTTCAGATATTTTCAGATTTCAGTAATGTGATGAATACCAGAAGCCAATTCCTGGACATGGCGTAAGGGAAAGAAAGATGCGAAACTGTCCACCACCAGTCCACACACTCAGGGATGAGGGAAAAAATATTTTACCTCATCCCCAAATATGTGGACCAGTGACAGAGCGCCCACATCTCTCCTTCCCTCACACCAGACTCATTATCATACATTAAGATACCTTCTTCACGTTATCTATATGGATCCAATAGGGTGTCTTGACTCTACAAGGCGCATGGTTCCAAGAGCCAAGAAAACATCCCAGTCAGCGTTCTTCTTCCAGTTATATGAAACGTCTTAGCTTGAACCTTACCAGCCCCTTGGCATAACCCCTGGTACGACAAATTTCTTCATACATGAAGTTACCTTATCCAATTATCTTAATAGGACGTCTTGACACCGCCTCTAAGCCGCGTGATTCTAAGTGCCAAGAAAACGTCCAAGTCAGCGTTCTTCTTTTCCTTTTAATG